ATCATTCAACTGCTTCAACTAGCAGCACGACGCTTGTATTGCTTTCCCACAGCCCGTTTTCACAATTTAGGCTGATCCACTCGGCTCGCCGTTATCATGTGAATCGCTTTTGGGTACCACCCATTATAGATTAGGTAAGATTCTAATTACGTGGCAAACAAAAAGAGAAAATCCAAACAACAAAAGCTGTCAACTGACAAAGATTCCAAGTGGCAAATGTAAAATCGATGGGGACATTTCTAATATATGATTATTATAATTAATTAATTAATTAAGCATTTTTTTTTTGGTGATAATTATATAATATTTAAAAAAAAGAAAAAATTAGAGCCAAATTTTATTTTCAGAAATTAAATTAAAAAAAAAAGTGGGGAATTATTTATCAAATAATATTGGTCTACGGGTTAGAATCTCCGGTGTCGTTGGAGAGCCGATTAATCGTCCGTTGAAAATGAATTACGTGTGAAAGAGACGCGTAGCTATAATGTTAATAGCTATTTCATTGTTCATTAGATCGCCTCTAATACGGCCGTCGCTTGTTTTAAACCCTAGCGTCTTAGCCATTTTCAGAGAGCTGTTTGGCACAAGGCTGTTTGTTAATCTCAGAGGCTTGTGAACACATCACGACAATCGCCGCCATCGCTATGGCTCAGTTAATGGGTGGTTTTCTGTTCTCAACTGCTCCCGGCGGGTTTCACCCATCCAAAGCAGGTATTTTCGTTTGAAATCTTATGTTTTCTGTCGTTCGAAGAATAAGATTTGAAATGGGAACGGGAATGAAGGGATTTGTTTATGGTAACTATTTTCATTTGTTCATCCGAGTTTCTGGCTACTCTGTAATTGTTCTTTTGGGGAGATGAATGGACTAGTCTTATGTCGATGGTGGAGAATATGATTCGATTGAGTTTTGTTGGTTATTTGGCATGGTCTGTGGTTGTTAAAATGCGTCATCTTAGATTGCATTTTTGTTTCTATTTTTCAGAGTCAGTGGCGAGTTACTGCAGGATATCTGGCCCGACGAAGTTGCATTCATTTCAAGAGGCATTTGAATCAATAATGCTCTCCCTTCTATTCTTACATGAGTTTTTTTATTAATTCCGGCTTGTTTTATCTGATTCTTGGACTTATTCTATTGCATTTGTGGCTGCAGCTGGGTGCCAAAGCGTCTGAAATCCATGGCAATAGCATAGCTTGTAACAGGGCCAGTGTTCTGCGGTCGAATAAGAAAAGCGGTGAGGTTCCCTTTGTTGCTTGGTCTGCGCTTAATTCCCTCCCCGGGTAGTTTTGTTCAGTCGGTTGGAGAAGCGTTGAGAGTTTTATCGGATCGAGCTTTTAATCATGGAGTCATTCTGTTAGTACGATTTATACAGATAGTAATTTTATTCACAGTCGTGTTTATATTTACTTTAGAAGAGCATCAGTCAAGTGGGATTCAGTGTCTTTTTAATAGTGATTTTGTTCTAATGTTTTAGCCCTGTGATTTAGATGCTTTTTAAGATGGGTTTTTGAGTTTTTCCCTTCTATCGAGTTGATGAAACTTGTATCCTTTACTTTTGAATGGATCCAGTTATTCAGGCAATATTGCAGAGCGAGAGAGAGATAGAAACAACCAATGGTATAACAACTAGAGGTTTGCGTGGGCAGTTGAATAAGGTTGTTCTGGCCTACAGTGGTGGCTTAGATACATCAGTTATCGTTCCCTGGTTGAGGTAGGCCTTCATTTTTTTCAATGTTGCAGAGTAGGTACCTTATTTCTTCCTTCCTTTTTTTGGGATTAGGGTATTGTAATTGTGGGAACTAGTTCTAAACATCACTACGGGTGTACATGGTCCGGGTTGGATTGAGGGATTTTTTTGGACCAACCCAAAAATTCGGTTGGTTGGATTCGTAACCCAACCCAACCAAAAATTTTCACAACCCAACCCTGTAAATCGACTGAGTTACAACACTTCCCTTTCCCTTGTATTTCGTGGGTATTCTTTTTTAGCTTTCAGTTGTTCTTTCTATGTCATCTCCTTCTGCATTCCTCTTTGGGGATTTGTGCAGTATTTCTAGTATCTACTTTCACTGCTTCTGAATTATTCCTTCCTATGGGCATTAATTATTGTATTTATTGCAGGGAGAATTATGGCTGCGAAGTTGTATGTTTTACGGCAGATGTTGGTCAAGTATGTAATTAGCATAGCTGAATTAGTTTTGTGGGTTTTTTTTAGGATAGCCTACTTGACCAACAACCCAGTGAAATTTACATTTTTGCATCTCTTTGTGTGTCTTAAACCTGTAGGGCGTGATGGAATTGGAAGGCTTGGAAAAGAAGGCTAGAGCAAGTGGAGCTTGTCAATTGGTGGTGAAGGACTTGAAGGAAGAATTTGTTAGAGACTACATATTTCCTTGCTTACGTGCTGGTGCAGTTTATGAAAGAAAATACCTGCTTGGGACATCAATGGCCCGTCCAGTCATTGCAAAGGTAAGTCTAACTTATAGAGCATTGTCGCTCGTAGTCCTTGCTTCTAAAGTTATATTAGCGATGTGAATTTCCCAACAATAAATAAATTTAAGGTTCTAAGACTTGTAAGCTCCAATCACGTTTGTCACGTTCATGGTTCTTACTTATTTGTTTGGGTATTTGGTAATTCCTTCCTTTTCCCTTATTTTGATATTTGGAAAACATAGGCCATGGTGGATGTTGCCAAAGAAGTTGGAGCTGATGCTGTTTCTCATGGATGCACTGGGAAAGGAAATGATCAGGTATGTTCGTCCACTGTGATTTGGATATGAGTATACTATTTTCCTTGATGAATACAATTGGTACTGCATATCTTTCAAGGTACGCTTTGAGTTGGCCTTCTTTGCTTTAAATCCTAATCTAAACGTGGTGGCACCCTGGAGGGAATGGGATATTACTGGAAGAGAAGATGCCATTGAGTATGCCAAGAAGCATAATATCCCTGTTCCAGTGACAAAGAAATCAATTTACAGCCGAGACCGGAACTTGTGGCATCTTAGTCATGAGGTAATGGTTATTAGTATTGATGGATTCATCTTTGTCATGAGGCATCAGTTATCAGTATTGATCGATTCATCTTAGTCATGAGGTAACGGTTATTAGTAATGATCGATTCATCCTAGGGATTGTTTGCCTATCAAGTTGAAATCAACCTAAGTGACGATTCTCTCCTAGGATGTATCAATAAACTAGGTGGATTTTAACATCTTTATGAATTTTATCTCCTGCTGATGTTCTCTTGTGCATTATAACTGAAGGGGGACATTTTGGAGGATCCAGCAAACGAACCTAAAAAGGACATGTATATGATTTCTACAGATCCAGAAGATGCACCAAACGAACCCGAGTAAACTTCTTTTTCTTGAAATAGCTGGAAATAATCTTTGCAATAATGATTTTATTCTTGAATCTGTCTTCCAACTATTTAAAATTTTATCATTTTTTGCTACAGAGCTGGAAAATTAAAATAGTATGAAAAAGAGAGGCACTTCAAAGGGTCCAATATCCAAAGGAGAACAATTTCTTAACTCATTTTGTTTGCATAATTTGTTGGCATTACCTTATTAGTCTATTTGGTGGGTGTTTTCCATTTTCTGTTCAACAAGCTCAACATGCTATCTTCTGCAGATATGTGGAAATAGGAATCGTAGGAGGTCTCCCAGTTTCCATCAATGGTGAGGTTCTTTCACCAGCCTCTCTTCTGACCAAAGTAAACGAAATCGGTGGAAAGCACGGAATTGGAAGAATCGACATGGTCGAAAATCGTCTCGTGGGCATGAAAAGTCGAGGTGTCTATGAAACTCCAGGAGGAACCATCCTTTTCGCAGCCACCCGTGAGCTCGAGTCTCTAACTCTTGACCGGGAGACTATTCAAGTGAAAGATTCACTGGCCCTCAAATATGCAGAGTTGGTTTATGCAGGCCGATGGTTCGACCCTCTTCGTGAATCCATGGATGCTTTCATGGAGAAGATCACAGAGACCACCACCGGCTCCGTCACCCTCAAGCTGTACAAGGGCTCTGTCCATGTGGTCAGCCGGCGAAGTCAATACAGTCTTTACAGGGAGGACATCTCTTCCTTCGAAAATGGGCAGATCTACAATCAGGCGGACGCCGCCGGTTTCATCCGCCTTTATGGCCTTCCGACCAGAGTCCGGGCAATGCTCCACAAGGACATCTGATCCATCCCCCCCTCTGATTACTGACGGATTGTTTTGATGAACAATATGCGTTCTAGGCTAGATTGGTATTTTCAAGTTTTTATAGTTTTCTTAGGCGGAAAAAAACTATGTTTATGAAATAGATTTATTATTTATTAATGAGTTGGGTAATGTGACATAAATGCCCTTGCATGTTACTCATCATATAATCGATATATATTTATTTATTTATTGTAATTGATTTGTTTTTATATGACCCTACATAAAAATAATTTATTTATTTATTTTATATTAAATAAAGTCTAATCCCTAAATTTCTGAGTTCGTGTTTATTTGGTATTTTAAATATTTCACTAAATTTTTAATTTTTATGTTTGATAGTTTTTTAACAAATTAAAAAAAAATTGTATTTTAGATAAACCCAAAATTAAAATTTGGACGGAATTTATTATTTTTTACCCTTTACTTCATCATTGGCGCGTAAATCTTAAATTTTTTCGCTGGGTTAAAAAAAAAATAATAATAATAAAATAATTCATAATATTGAAAAATCTGGTAAAGTCCAGGGGTATTTTGGGAAGGTAGGAGAATGAAATTGCTGGGCTAGTGTATGATATCTTGGGCTCGCGTAACAAGCTTAATTCCACCTCCTCACCTATTGGCCCAATGGCCATTCTCCGCCGTTTGACGGCCTGAACTATCGCCGGCGTCTCTGAGGCCGCCGCGACGCCGCTCCGTTGTTTCAGTCTGAGACATTTCATTTCTACCGCGACCTCCGCCTCTTCAGCTCAACTACAATTTGATTATGAATATTACTGCTACGACTACAGAGCAGAGCTCGAACCCCGACTTGATCACCTCGCGGTAGCTACCATTGGATACTCGGAAGGCTCGGTCCCGACGAGAGAATTGGAGTTTGTGTTCATTGGAAGCCCCCGCACGAAGAAGCATCTTTATGCGTAGAAGCTCTCCAGGCTGCTTGCAGTTCCTCATATTTCCATGGACAGCTTGGTTCGCCAAGAACTTAGCCCTCGCTCGTTCTTATATAGACAGGTATAACTCGACACTCGTAGCTTCATTTCAATGTTTGGCGTCTTTTTCATGGAATTTGTGCTTAAACGTCTTGCGTCTTTGCGTTTTCCGGCTCTGAATCCATAGTTGCTTGCCGTGTTCGTGATCTTATTCTTTGGATTTAAGTCTTCGTAATTCAGATTTCATTACGAGTTCAGATGATTTTGAGGAATGTGATTATCACAGTAGTATATAGATACTGGCTACAAGCACCTTCTTGATTGTTTCTGATAGGGACGACATTCTCTTAACTTTGATTATTCCTTTTCATATTCAATTACATGAATGTCAATACGTGTGTCACCTTAAATTCTTTCTGTCACCTTAAATTCTTTCTTTCAGCTATGAAAACAAAAGGTTCACTCCCGTTTTGAGTCTTGCTTCTAGTTAACCATCGTTACGTATATGAAACTCTGCTCTTAATGCCTTCGTGACTCTGTATATCAAGAACTGATGTCCAGGAGTCTATAAACCAGATTTACCATATATATGTTTAAGTATTGATATAATTAAATTTAAGCTATGACTGCATGATGTTAAATATATCTAACACTTGATGTGTATATGATTTTAAATAATTCATCACTACTTATTTGATGAAAAAATGGAACTGTTCTATGAAAACGCGACAGAGGATTTTAGCTGAACATAATTCCCCATGAGCACATGCTTTGCAAAATTGTTCGCTGCATCATTCGTGGCTTTCATAATAGTAAGTTTACTGGTTAACAGTGGCTCTGTTCTCCATCATTGTTTCCCCCTTTTTCCAGCAGAAGATTGTTGATCAACTTGCCATGATCGATCCGATCGTGAATTTCAGATGCGTCAACTTTTGTTCCGTTAAATATCATATGGGTACTTCTTCTTCCCGTTCTTCCATTCTCGTGAGAAACGAGCTTCTGTTCTACATACCATGGTGTAAATCCTTAAGGCTTATTGACGAACTAGATTCAGAAGGTGCCTGGAAGAAAGAACTCCAAATCTATGCTGAGCAGGTACTTTAATGTGTATATATGATCTGGCTTTTCATCATTACTACCGTGTCATTGCAAAGTATTTCTCAACCATTTTTCTTTTCATTATTTAGTTTCACCAAATTTAGATAGTGGGTAGCCTTCGAGCCATTGCTGAGTTCGAACTTCAACGTCCGAAAGAATGTCCGAAAAATCATTAATTTTTCCCTTGATCATAGTTAGTTGGGATTTCATTTCCTGAAAAATAGAAGCATTTAATAAAATGTGAAAATGTTTTATAACGGAAAAATAAATGGATAATAAAAAGTGCTGTCCAAAAATGTACTAGAATTGGAAGTATTGAGTTCAAACATTTTAACTCAATTATAGTGACCTCTATATGGGATATGAATCGTACAATCCTACAACATTTCATTAGAGTGTACAATTTCTCCTATGGGATTAGTTGAACTGATTCTAAGCTGGCATTAGATCCTTAGAGAAGAGAATCGAGTTGGCCCTTGCAAGTAGGTAGATGCATAAGGTCCCTTCAACCTTTTGAGCAAAATGCAATAAAAAGAAGGAAAATTCATGGCTTAACACCATCTTCTTGATTTTGTAGGAACTACAAGATCAATGTTTTTGATATCCGAGGGTCGCACCTTATTTAATTCGCTAAACGCATTAGTTGTTTACTCTAGAGTTGGACAACAGTTCTATTTCATAGATTCTTAGGACCTAGAGCTTTTTGGGAAGAAGTGGAAGCTTAAAAAATGGGGCTCTTATTTGAGTGGATTTACACTTTATCATCAATGTCGAGATGACATGTCCAAAATATAAACCTATCTATTCTTATTGGAGTTCTAAAAAACAAAAAACTGAAAAAACGTGCCTTATGAGAATCTATTGCTTTCAGAAGAAAGGCTGATTTCATGAAACAACTTCAGGAAGAAAAAAAACAAATCATTGTTGTGATGCAGAACTATATCTTTGATCACCATCCCTGGCATCTTGGACTTGATTTGCATATTGTAGGTTCCAAAGAACATCCTCCATGGATGGACGACTCATTTCTGGGGAAATACACTTGTTCATTAGGGAAATAATGGTTGATAGAGACTCTTGCGAGCAAGTAGCTAGAATGGTTGGATCGATGAGTCCCCGTCGTCCGTCCTGGCTGTTTAAACTCATCTGTATGTATGGAAAGCCATTTAGGACATTTTGAACTAAATAGTTCAAAGAAATGGAACATTGAGAGCTTTGTTTGTTTTTTCTGTTACGTAAGCCCCATGCACTACCATGATCAATTAATTTTGATCCTCTCGTGCACCTCGACAGCACAGCTGAACTTTTCCATTTGTTTCAAAACTACTCCTATTCTTTCAAAAGTTGCAATATTAACCTTGACATTTCATAAACATTTCAAAACTAACCTTATGGTAGAAATCCTTTAGAATTTTAGATAAAAATTGAGATATGGAATTGTGTGGGGGCAGTGACCTAAAATGGAAACTAGAATTGCCACTTATTCTAGGCCACTGCCACCCTGTTCTAAGCTCCAACTTTTGTCTGAAATTTTAGAGAATTTATGTTCCAAAATGTTTACGAAAGGACGAGAATAATATTATAACGTTATGAAAGAATAAGGAAACAAATGGCAGACTTGAGAGTATTTTTTATAATTTAGCAGCCTACTATGTATAATGCAAAGAAAGCAGTAATCAGAAAGTTTTTGGCCTACCATGTCCTTTAGTATATAGGGGCCTTTTCTAGTAGAAACAGAAGGTGCAACAAGTGCCTCTAGTAGTATAAACCCAAAGCTATATACATCATCCTTCAAGTTCATCATTTGCCTGAGGATAGATAATTCAAGTGAGGAACAGTTGATTTTCATGGAAAAGAGGGCCTAAATGATTAAAAATCATTCTTACCAAGCTTGAGGGCCTTCTCCTTTTGCCTACACAAACAAAAAAACATAAGCAATCAGCATTTACCAATGAACAACAGTAATAATCAAGTCCTACCTACCACAGATTTGGCTGGTTCTTCTGAGATAATGGACAATCCATAATCACTTAACTTTGCTACATTGTGCTCATCAATCAAGATATTGTTGATCTTTAGTTGGTTGTCGAAGAAACCTGGAATAACTCCAGTATGCAGGAAGTGCACAGCCTTGGCAATACTGATTAGAATTGCTAATCTTTCGGACCAGTTCAAAACCTTCTCTACAAGTTCAATCATTTGTAAGAAAAAAGAGAAGTATTTCTCTCAGGTAGGGAAAGGTTGGTGTGAAAGTTGAATATATTTATAGAATCTTAGTTTGAAAATGTTTCAAAATTACCAGAGAGATGTGTCCGAAAACTTCCATTAGAAACATATTCAGATACAAGGAAGACCTTGATGTCACTAAAGTCTTGGCCATCTCCATCAATGCAGTGTCCCAAAAGGCAGACCAAATTTGAGTGCCTGAGCTTTCCAAGCATATCCAACCTAAGCTTAAGATTTCTAATTGAAAATTTCTTTGATATAAGCAAGGACCTTATGGCAACTTGAGTTCCATTCTCCAGCCTCCCTCTGTAAAGCTACAAAACATATTAAGAAGGCTGAAATACATGGTGGGTAAAAGGATGGTTTCAAAGTAATATAATTATGGCTATATTTCCTGTTTGGTGAATTTCACCATTTAACTTGCAAATAGAAGAAATACTCACAAAAAAGGAAGCCAACTACAAGCAATTTTCAATGAAGTTGAACCATCATGCAACAAAACTAAAGATTAGAATGTTACCTTCCCATATGAACCATCACCAATGATGGTTGAATCATGAAAATTGCCTGTAGCTTCTTTTATCTCCTCCAATGAAAAAGTCCTACACAATGGAAGGCCTTGAATTCCCAACTTTGCAGCTTGAGAAACAAACCCTGTGAGAAGGAAACTTTGAAATGGTAAAGTAAAACATCTTGAAGTCATGGAAGTCTACTAATTTTCCAAACTTCCACATTCCTCAGTACACTAAACAAATAACTGCAAATGAAGTTCTTACTGAACTTACTAGCACTTGTTAGAAGTTCGGATGCGAACCCTGCTGCTGAACTATCCTGAACTGATTTCTGCAGTAAATGTTGTCCTGATATTTCTCTAGGCCAACATCTTCTACATAAAACAACCCCAATAGAAAGTAGAAGCACTGACAACAAAATACCAAGAAGTAATCCCATTAAAACTCCTGCATTTTTGGCTCTAGATTGCTCCCGGTGCTGGTGCATATGGTTTATATCACAATATGATTTCGTATGCTGTTTCCCTACATTAACAGATAAGCAATTCCCATCTACCTTAAGAGTTCGTTTATCAGATTCAATGCCTAAGCAGGAAGGCAGTCCTCCTGTAAGCATATTGTTAGATATATCAACAAACTGAATCATGTTGCCACACCTCAGATTGATTGGTAGCGACCCAGATAACTTATTGGAAGAAAGATTCAAGTGACTGATGTTGGGCAAGGAGAAGATGGTCGCAGGAGGGATGCCAGTCAATGCATTGAACGATATATCAAGCTGTTGTAGCTGACTAAGTTGGCCATATTGCTGTGGAATCTCACCCGAAAATGAGTTTTTTCCGAGTAAAACCATGATCATTGTCTTTGGTAGCAGAGGCAGAGGTGAATCTATTTTGTTCCAGCTTAAGTCCAGTACAGTTAGGCCATGTAAGGGACTTAGATCTGGTAATTCACCAGAAATGTAATTGCCAGACATGACAAGCTCAGTAAGGGTACTGATACTGAGGATTGAAGATGGAAATGAATCCTTTATCTTATTGTTTTTCAAGCTCAGCACCGTCAAACTAGACAATGAATCAAACCATTCAGGTACAGTATCATTGAAGAAGTTGTCGTCTAGTTTGAGAGTTTGAAGCTTCATCATAGTAGAAATCTTAGGTGGGATTGAACCAAAGAGATAATTTGAGCTCAAATCTAGATACTCAAGTGAAGATAATCTATGGATTTTGTCTGGCAGTGGACCCCAGATGCCCAAAGACACAAGACTAAGAACTCTCAAGCTGTTTAGTCTAGTCAAAGTGGTGATGAAAGAATCAAGAGAGAAGCTCTCTGATAGAGTTCGATTTGGTATTGCAAAACCAATGAACTCATCAACTTTGCCTTTAGTATCACCAGCAATTCTAAGCTCAGTGACCACACTGCCTTGGCATGTGACATTAACAAGAGGAAGAAAAGATAGTGTGCAAAAATCTACTCTGTGATCAGTCCATGACTCCAATTGCTTTGGGTACTCCAAGTGCTTCCTCAGCTGGAGAAGCACTTGGGCTTGAGAGACTTGCAATTGGTAAGCTTCAGCAAATACGAAAGTCCAAACAAAGCTGAGAAGTAACAACAAATCATACTTCCCCATGAAAGATTCTTCAGACGATGATCTTGACTGCTTCTTCTTCTTCTTCTTCAAGTAGTCTCTGTTTCAGAAACTTCAAAATGGTGAATCTCAATGATTGTGATTAACGGAAGAAGAAGAAGAAGAAGAAAGTTGAAGATGGGATGTGGCCAGTCTCGAACTCCCACACTGAAACAGAGAGTACAAATAAATCATCAAAGAGGATTGAAGAGAAGTAAAACCCACCAAGTAAATTGTTAGAGAAACAAGAGAGGCCTATCAAATGGAGTCATTATTGAAGCGAAATGCAGCAACGCATAGTGTTCCTCTTCTCACAACTGTCATTCGAAAAGAAAATTCACAAAGCAGCAAGTGATGATGCGAAAGTGGGGTAGCTGAAGTGGACACATTTAGTTCTAGCACATGCTTCTCTCTCTCTCTCTCTCTCTGTCTTGAAAGCAATGGAAATGGGGTATGGCAATTGGCAGGAATGGGTGTTGTGTTGTGTTGTGTTGGGTTGGAAAGTCTCAGCCTTTCTCAGCTGGGGGCTGCGAGCAAAAGGAGAGGCTTCGGCTGTGAATGGAATCCAACAGTCCACCATTATTATACTTTACAATTTTCATTTTTTTAGTTCAGAAAATTTTGAAGCTTGTGTAGGATGTTTTCTAATCCATAAAGTCAAATGGGTTTATCTTAAAAGTCGTTTTAAGTTTTATATTTAGATTCCTTGTTCGTTTGTGGTGGATGAAATTACTATTAACTTTTTTTAACACCAGGTTTGTTTAAGTTGAGAATGGGATCAAATTCTCACGTTGATTAAGAAAGAAAAAAATTGTGAGTTTATCGTGAGATGTTTTGAGTTAAATTAAAAGTAAAGACATATGAGCTTATGTCCGAAAATATTGACACTGTATCATTATGCAGATTTATAGAGTATTATTTTCCTTGACAATATGAGTATAGCTAATAATCTTTTAATTTTTAAGAATTAAGTTTATGAATTTTTTTGTTTTTTTATTGATTATTTTTATTATTTTTAAAATCCAATCCAAAATTTAAAAACTAGAAGAAAAAAAATAATAGAAAATCTACCAAGAGTTTAAATATTTTTTTTAAGAGGTGTATACAATTTTCTAAAATAGAAAAAAGTTATTATCCAACCCAACTTTAGTGATTAATATTTTTTAAAAAAATGGTTAAGTTTTGGTTCTGATATATTTTTAAAATTCATGATTTTCGATTAAAGTTTTATTAGTCTATGTTTAGTAGATTAATTAATTTTATAAAAATTAAGAAAACTATTGGAGATTAAATTTAAGAAATAAATTTATAATTTAATAATTAAAAAAAGAAGAAGACAACTACAGTATCACAATTAATAATTAAGCAACTTGTTTGGATACTTCCAAATTCCAATCCAATCCAACATATATTAAACTTGTATTAAAATCTAAAACTAAAAAATTAAATTAAATTAAATTA